GCCTGAACCTGCATAATTAAGAACAAAATGGGGCTTCTCCCTCAAAGTAGGATGAAATGGTTTGTGGCAGATCAGTGCTCTTGAAAAGAACTAGAAAAATTGGATTCATTTTTTATTTAAAACCATCATGGAGCTGCTGAAGCAATGAGGACCAGAACAGCTAAAATGCTGGAGAGCAGAAATCTGTGGAGAGATGAACTCAGTCTTTAATTCAGACAGAAGGGCACTGCTGAGGACCAGAAAAGTAATAGACTTTTGGAAGTTTATGCGGGGCTAGAGTAACAAAACTGGATACCTGAGGGGCTTCAAATACATGGTTCATTTCCCCATCAAGACTTTTGCCAATTCTGAAGCTATGCAAAGCTGGAAGCAAAATCTTAAGTTAAAACCTCACCAAAAGCAGTTTTCTACAATCTTTTAATGCTAAAGAGGCAAAACTTAGATTTCAGGACCTGTTGGGCGCATGAGTCCTGATAAATACGGCAGCTCTCAGTTGAAAGCCCTGGTTCAACTGAAAGCATCAGTTCAGTCCTGACGGAATTAATGTGATCACCTTTGACCCTTTCTGCCTGACAGGGAACACAATGAATTCCCCTTGAGTAAGATATCATCTGGAGCTTCGACAGTTTTTAATATACAGTATCTAGCATAAAATTCAATAAAAATTACTAGACATGTCAAGAAATCTGTTGAACAACCAAGGGAAAAACACAGACAATAAAATAATTGACCCACAGATGACTCTGAATTGGTGTTATTAGACAGGCCTTTTTTTGAATCTCCGACAGTTATGTTCAAGAAAATAGAAGACAAAATGAAGGAGAAAATAGCTGAAAAGTGGAATATTTCATCAGAGAACTGAAATCCAATTTTAAAAAGAATCAAATAAAAATTTACAAATTAAAAATACAATTAACCACATTTAAAAATCAATAGATGGATATGACTACAGCTTAGGCACAACAGAAGAGAAAATGAGTGAAGTGAAAGACATGTCAGGAAGCAAACTGAAGCACACAAAGAAAAGAGGGAAACATGCAAAACAGCATGAAAGACAGGTGGGACACAATGTAACCGGAGTCCCAGAAGCAAAGAAGGGAGTAGAAGCAATATTTGAATAGATGAGAATTTTTCAAAACTGATTTTTAAAAACGTCAACATAAAGGCTCAAGTGTCTTTTTTTTTTTTTTTTTTTTTGAGATAGAGCCTCAAGCTGTCCCCCTGGGTAGAGTGCTGTGACATCACAGCTCACAGCAACCTCCAACTCTTGGGCTCAAGCAAGTCTCCTGCTTCCACCTCCCAAGTAGGTAGGACCACAGGCGCCCGCCACAACACCCAGCTATTTTTTGGTTGCAGCCATCATTGTTGTTTGCCAACCTGAGTTGGATTTGAACCCACCACCTTAGGTCTATGTGGCTGGCGTCTTAGCCGCTTGAGCCACAGGTGCCGAGCCAAGGCTCAAGTGTCTTAAGAAACCTTAACCAGCATAAATTCCAGGAAACAAAACAAAAATCATGTACCTGGAAGAAAGCCTACTGAAAATAAAAACAAACAAACAAAAAAAATTGTAAGCAGCCTGAAGAGAAGGAACATTATCTTCAAAGAAGCAACAATAAAACAGACAACTGATTTCTCAAAAGAAATGATAAAAGCCAGAAGACAATGGAAAGACATTAAAATGCTGAAAGAAGAGGCAGGAAAGCAAACTTGCCCATCTAGAATTCTACACCTGTGGGAAAATCTTTAAAAATGAAAGTAAAGCAAACAAAAACAGAAAATTGATCAAGGGCAGACTTGCACTAATAAAATGCTTATAAAAGGGAGTAAGTTAGGCAAATGTCAAAGGAAAAATATGATCCAAGATAAAAACATGGAAATGCAGGAACAAATAAAAAACAAAAAAAAAGGGTAAATGTGTTGGTAAATATAAATGGATTCTGATTACAAACCACAGTAACTGCAATGTGTTGAAATTTAAAAATGCAGACAATAATGCAAAAAGTCTAAGGGGAAAATGTGTTTAAATTACTGGAAGGTTTCTGTTTTGTAAACTGCTATGGTGAACTAAAATTAACTAATGATGCATGTTATAATCTAATATGACCACTAAGGAGTAAACAAATTATAACAAGTTATTAGATGGTGGATAATAATATAAATTATCTGATCTAAAGGAAGACAAGAAAGGAGAAAGATGAATATAAAACAGGCAGATTAAAGAAAAACAAATAATAAAATGGTAGCTTTAAATCCAACTATACATGTATCAGTAATTATATCAAATGTAAATTTATTGTAATTCATCATATGAATAAATTTAAAAGAAAAAACATATCATCTCAATAGATACAGAAGAAGCACATGACAAAACTCAATATTCTCTCATGGAGGAAAAAGTCCAAGCAAACTAGGAGTAGAACAATAGTTCTTTGATCTGATAGCAAATGTCTACAAAAAGCTACAGTAAACGATAATACTTAATGGTACAAAAATGACTCTTTCCTCATAAGATCAGGAACAAGGCATGGGTATCTTCTCGCACCACTTTTAGTTGACATCAAACTGTAAGTTCTGGCCAAGGCAATATGATAAGAAAAGTTTTAAAAGGTATACAAATTGGAAGGGAAGAAAGAAAATGGCTTTATTCATAAATGACATGTTTATTTACATAGGAAAAAAAGAGCTACTACAATTAATAAGTAAGTTTAGGGAAACTCTAAAATACAAGGTCAATGTACATGGGTCATCATGAAAGTTTTGAGATACACAAAAATCAAGAAATGTAAAATCTGTGTTAACAAAAAGAAATGATGTTTTCCTAACAACACCAATAAGCCGACCGAGCTGAAACTTGCATGAGTGAATCAGAAAGGATGCTGTCAACTATGTTCCTTGGGAGTGAAACAATGAACCATAATACAGTCTGTCTTAAAACTTTCACAGCGGCCTATATATAAAACTTAATTCTATATACTAGGAATGAACAATTAGAAATTGAAATTTTAGATCAGGCACAGTGGCTCACATCTGTAATCCTAACACTATGGGAGGCCAGGATGGGTGGATCACTTGAGGTCAAGAGTTTGAGACCAGCCTGAGCCAGAGTGAGACCACACGATCTCCTATAGGATAAAAAATTAATCTTACTCTTATATTTCACAAAAACAGATAAAACTGACTTAAAAAAATTAAAAACTTTTTTCCTCAAAATATACCATCAAGAAAGTAAAAAATCGGGCAGAGACTGTGGCTCAGTAAGTAGGGTGCCAGCCCCATATATCCAGGGTGGTGGGTTCGAACCCGGCCCTGGCCAAACTGCAACAACAAAAATGAAAGAAGAGAAAAAAAGGTAAAAAATCAGCTGGGCACAGTGGCTCATGCCTGTAATCCTAGCACTCTGGGAGGTTGAGGCAGGTGGATTACCTGAGCTCAAGAGTTTGAAACTAGCCTGAGCCATAGTGAGACCTTGTCTCTAAAAATAGCCCAGTGTAGTGGCAGGCATCTATAGTCCCAGCTATTTGGGAGGCTAAGATAAGAGAACTGTTTAAGCCCAAGAGTTTGAGGTTGCTGTGAGCTGAGACACCACAGCACTCTACCAAGGGTGACAAAATGAGACTGTCTCAAAAAAATAAAAAATAAATAAAAATAAATAAATAAGCAAAGGATCTGAACAGCAACTTCTTCAAAAAAGATACACAAACATTCAACAAGAACATAAACAGATGCTCAGCATCATTAATCATTAGAGAAAAGCAAATCAAAACCACAATTAGATAACACCTCACAAACATTAGAAACATTAGGATGGCTAAAATTAAAGAGAGGAAGGTGGATTGCTTTAGCTCATGAGTTCGAGGCTAGCCTGAGCAAAAATCGAGACCCTTGTCTCTATTAAAAATAGAAAAACTGGCTCAGCGCCTGTGGCTCAAGTGGCTAAGGTGCCAGCCACATATACCTAAGGTGGCCAGTTCGAATTTAACCCGGACCCGCCAAACAACAATGATGGCTGCAACCAAAAAATAGCCAGCCATTGTGGTGGGTGCCTATGGTCCCAGCTACTTGGGAGGCAGAGGCAGGAGACTTGCTTGATCCCAGGGGTTGGAGAGTTGGAGATTGCTGTGAGCTATGATGCTACAGCACTCTACCCAGGGGGATAGCTTGAGGCTCTGTCTCAAAACAAAAAAAAAAAATAGAAAAACTGAGGCAAGAGGATCACTTGAGTCCAAAAGTTGAAGGTTGCTGTGAGCTATGACGCCACAGCACTCTACCCAGGGGGACAGCTTAAGACTCTGTCTCAAAAAAAAAACAAAGTGGAAAAATTAGAATACTTATACCAGTGCAATTGTAAAATAGTGCAAATGACTTCAAAAAATAATTTGATAGTTCTTCAAATTTTAACCAACCTACGCATATGTACAAGAGAATTAAAAATATTTGTTCACATAAAAACGTGTACACAATTTTCAAATAAGCATTAATTCATATCAGCCAAGTGGAAACAACCCAAATGTCTATCAACTTACAAATGTCATGTATGTGTACAATGGAATATCATTCAGCTGTAAAATGGAATGAAGTACTAGTATATGCTACAACATGATAAATCTTGATATAAAAAGAAGCTGAACCCCAAAGGCCACATGCCATATGATATCATTTATATGAAATGTCTACAACAGTCAATCCATAGAGACAAAAAGTAGACAAATCTGTCAAGTGCTGGAGGTGGGGAGGATGATGGGGATGGGTTTTCTTTGGGAAAAGTTTAAAATGTTCTAAAATTAGATCAAAGTGGTGGATGCACAACTATATATTTTTAAAAACACCAAACTGTACACATTTTAAAAGGGTAAAACTTAATATGAATTATACCTCAATTAAACTGTTAGAAAAAACCTAAAAACCTTTGACAGCTCTCCTTTGCCAAAAAAAGTTTAGTGGAGCATTTAAGAAACTTCGTGACTTATTTCCATCTAAACTTTAAACTCTTATCTCTTGCTATTTCCCTCTTCTGCCATCTTCTGGTTCTACTCCAAACACATAAAGCTATTTTATAATTCCATGCCTTTGCACATACTGTTCTTGCTGTCAAGAATGTTATACTCCTTGTACTGTTTCTGTTGAACTCCTACTTATCCTTCAAGAACAAATGTTGTAAAAAAAAAAAAAAATACAAAATAAAAGAAGAACAAATGTTTCTTCCAAGAAATCATTCTTAACCCCATGCAAAGTTCATCATTTGATCTCTGATATAAACACTGGTTTCTAGACTCTAAACATCTTAAGTTTACTAGACAGTACCAACTTCAGCCCCAGGACCTAAAGCTTGTAAGCAATTAGTAAATGTTTACTGAATAAATGAATGATGAAACACTCCCTTCACTACTGACCAAAAATAGTATTTTTCTTCAACTAGTTTAATCAGTAAAACTCATACAAATATAGTTGAGTTCAGGCCTACAGAGACCAATAAAATGAAATAAAAACACAAATTTGGGTCTAACATTGCGACTGGGGGAAATTACCATCAAGTAACATTTCATGGGGTTCACAGTTTGGATACTTATCATTGTTGACCGAACACGCTTACTGAAGTCAATATTCTTTTATTCAACATATTAAATGTGTTGTTTAACTCTGGTAACCACAGCTGTGACTTAGTTAACGATATCAATAAATCCTACTTAAATCAGAGACAGGAAAAATTATGCAAATGAATTCTTATCTGTTTTTCTGCCCAAGGCATATTTGATAACATATAAAACATACTCCAAATAGTTTCTACTTAATAGTCAGGAAGCCATTTGAGGCTTTATTTGGATCCGAATCAAATATAAGGAAGAGAGGCTTGCTAAATTCACGAATGGTTTTATTTCAGAAAGAAATTATACATTTAAAAGAGACAGAGTTAAGAGCTTACATTCACATATGGAAGTGAATCTAGGAAAGTCAACAATTATTAATATACAAAGCCACATGATTTAAAGACAGTAACAGATAAAAACAGATGGGCTTGCGTTAGATTCATCCACAAAATAATATCTTTTGTTTAAAAACAAAAAGATATTGGTTTTAAGATCGCTCTTTTGAAATAAGTTTGTAGCTCCAACGGACTTTAAAATCAAACTGATCATACCAACCACCATTATATGCTGTATCACGCCCACATGCATCCAGCAGGATGGAAACCATCTATCAATTATACCTTGCAGCTAGCCAGGATGTCTTCGACCAATCTCTTGTAAACCCAGGCATCGCCCTTAAGCCGCTGCCTCCTGATACCCACCACATCAGGTTTTTGAAGCTGGCACACTTCTAGTTCAAACTGCATTGTCACTTTGCCAAAATCTGACTGTGTTTGACACTTCAGTGTATAACTGTGAAAAACCAAAGAAGCCAGTTAGTAGGATAACCATATTCTGTATGATACAAGAGTTTTCTAAGCCTCTAGGAGACCAGTGGAGAAAAAGAACCATTATTTCACATTAAGCAGTGTATTACTGTTTACCATTTCCAAATGACTAGCTATGTTTTACTAATGAAGTATAACTGGTATTTTCCCAGAAACTGAACTAGGATCCCAAAAAATCAGGATTTATCAGGATTCTCTCCTGCTCCAAAGAAAAGCCCTTCTTTCATTGCTATGCATGCCATTCATGCTCAAGAAAGCTGATGTTCTTTGTTTTGTTTTATTGAGACAGAGTCTCACTTTGTCACCATTGGTAGAGTGGTGTGGTATCATAGCTCACAGCAACCTCAAACTCTTGGACTCAAGCGATTCTCCTGCCTCAGTCTCCCTAGTAGCTGGGATGACAAGCACTCACCACAACACCCGGCTATTTTTTTTGTTTAGCAGGCCCAGCTTGGGTTCAAACCGACCAGCCCAAGAGCACGTGTCTGGCTCCCTAACCGCTGAACTATGGGCACCCAGCCAAAGCTGGCATTCTTTATGTAACACTTACAGTGTAATCCGTGAACACTGGGTGATTTCTACATGTTCACAACAAAGGAAGACATAGGGAATATGAGGAATATTTTGTATGTATGCACCTCATCAAAAACTGTCTTTTATACCCATAAAGCTGAAGCCACTCACCTGTCAGAAAGGTACCCATGTTTCTAAGGTTTTTCTAATAGTTATAAGACCTTATGATCATTACAACACTATAAAAGAAAGAAAAGCAAAAGAAAAGCCCAAGGAGATGGTACATTCCCATAGATGAAATGTATAAAATTTATGGCTAAAATTGCCACATTAGCTACTTTGATAATGGAAAGCCCAGTCTAAGCGAAGCCTTAAGCTCACCTTTACAAATAGATATGACCCTGAAAAGTGGCATAAGTTTAATTCATGTAAACAAAAAAATTTTTATTAGTTTAATCATATTTTAGATTTTTAAATATTTGCCTTACTGATCTTTAAACAATAAATATAAACAATAGGACTGATTTTAAACTTCAGCTCCCTAAATATTTCAGGGCACAGGATTAGACACTCACTATTCCACAGATGTTATGGAGAAATAACAATGTCTATTATGTATTATGAAATTTCACAAATTTTAGAGAAGGGGCTTGATCTCTTAAAAATAAGCAGTTGATATCAGAAATTCCACAAAGAGCTCTGGATAGTTAAGGTTCTTGACAGGATGATGAAGCACAGAACGATTTAGTTACATGGAAGATAATAAGCAATTCGTTGTGACTGGGAACAGATGATAATGGAATATAACCAAAATTAGTAATACCACACACCATTTGAAAAGGTTGCGCTCATCTTTCTCTCTGCCTTGTCTGAAAAAAGATAAAAACAAATAGAAAAGGTAAAAAGAAAAAAGGGGGTCAAGGCAGAGAGCTCCTAGTTTATTAGGAACTTGGAAGGACAAAGTATCAATTAAAGGCTTATGACAGAGATTTGGTTAGAAGTTCTGGAACCACAAGTAAGCCCCAAACATGAAGAAGAAATCATAGTGAGTTAGATGTGTTCTAATGAAGCCTAAAGAGGAAAACCAGGGTGAATGTAAGGAATGAGGTAACATTTACAGATAAATAATATTTACATAATTAAATCTATCTATGGCTCTAGTGGTTGCTCAATGAAGTAATTTTAAAGAGACATACTAAGGTGATCAGACATCCGCTTTTGGCGGGACAGTCCCGATTTTTAACAATTTGTCCTGTGGTGTTTTTAAAAAGTCCCGATTTTTGGAAAGAGTGCACGACAAGCTAGGGTACGGCGGGAGAACGGGAAGGGAATAGATGGTTTTCAGCTGCCATGTGACTATTTTGCCAGGATATGAATTTTATATTATTTTTGTTAATTTTATAATGTTAAACTTTAATAATAACAAATAATTGTTGAGAACTGATTATCGAGAACAGCTTATCAAAGTTTGCACTGTTGATCAGTTGTTAGAATTCGACCACAATGGCATTTTTTGGCATTGGCAACCACGAAAACATTTTGTAACTGTCTCTCAGACAATACACATCATACTACACATGCTAGCGCTAGTTAAACAAGTGATGTCAACAAATCAGCTATTCAGATAATTTAGGTAAGTAATTTATTTATTTATTTATGTCATGAATTTAGCAGACAGTATTCATATTATTTATATTTTATAGTGGCAGCAAAAAGTCTAGCTCTGGCCTTGAAAGTGACACTTACAACTTACGAGGTATCATTATTAAAAAAATATATTGATAAGGAAAAGGTTAAATCTTGGGCATCAGCAAAAATCACAATAGAGAACAAATGGTTAGAAATATTTCATCATTTTGAAACAAACCATGTTCCATACAATAATGCACTAGAAATTGTGGGATACATGCTGTCCTTACCAGGAACTAATGCTGTGACTGAACATGTTTTTTCTTCGGTAAATAAAGTGTGGACATCAGAAAAATCACAATTAAGTGTTGAGACTTTGAAAGCCATTTTATGTGTGAAATATAATTTAACAAATTCTTGTGAAAAATTTCATGACCTTTTAAACGACAGCAATCTACTAAAAAAATTCACTCAAATGAGAAATATGCCAAAGAATAAAATAATACTATACATATTTTTTAATGTATTGTATTTATAAATTGTACTTATGTTGAAATTAAAAAAAAAATTACAATACTATTTTTTGCATTCTATGAAAATTTTTGTTACTCCATATAGACCAAAATTTTAATTAAGAATCACCCCACCCCCTACCCCAGTCAATGGTCCTGCTTTACCAATGTTAAAATTTGGTCACCTTATACCTAACTGAATGAAAATACTTAGAAATATGAATATCTTGGGTAACCAGAAAAGGTCTGGTTATTCAGATCATGAGAATATAATCAAAGAGTCTGATGATATCCATCCAACAGTGTAGGGAAAATTGTGTCCTATCTTGGGCACAGGCTCCCTTTCTACTAGAGAGACCTGAAGAGTCACGAGAATGGCATGTGAGTTGAGTGCCTCCAAGAGAGACCTCCAAGACAGAATGTGTATGTGAGGTGTGGCAATAAAGATTATCGGAGTGCAAAAGGCTCTGGATGCTGGAGGCAAAGGTTGTGCTCAAGGTCCATGGTTTTGGAAATGGTGGAGACAAAGGAACAAAGGAAGTTCTGTCTGACCTTGTCCACATCCTCCCTAATCAATGCTAATGTCGGATAAACAGCTTTTGTCTACTTCTTCCTATTTTATGATAATAAATACAGACCCAAGTTTTGCTCAGAAGGGCTCCTCCTAGAGTTCCTCAGGTCCCTGGCCCAGACTCTGTGTCAAGCCTTTTTATTCCTCGCACCAAAACCCCTTCACAACCCTGGCAAAGAGCTAAGGTAAAATAACTTCCTAAAGCACTGAAACCCCTATAAAACAGCCAGTCATAAAGAGGAGTCTCTTTAAATATCTGATTTGTTTGAAATGTCTCACAAATTTACAAATATTTATAAATATTATTGCAAAGCAGCAAATCAAAGGAAAATAGAGGATCTAAAAGAAATTGTGAAATGTCTCACAAATATACAAATATTTATAAAATATTATTGTAAAGCAGCAAATCAAAGGAAAATAGAGGATCTAAAAGAAAAATGGAAGAAGTTCAAATTTTCCTATTTTGAAATAAAAAGTCTAGCTTTAAAAGTGGGACAATATGAATGCTTTAAAAACTTTTATAGCTCATACGAATAGAAGAGAATAAATTATAAACAATGACACTACCTTAAAAGCTTTTTGGAATGAGATGGGAGAAATATACTTTTTAAAAAGGACAGAGGGTTGGAGGTGTAGATCAGTTCATATTTTTTCAAAGTCCAAAAGAAATTACATTACAAATCCAACAGCCTGTTAAGTGTGCTTCTTACCCCTTCTGTACAAAGTCAACATGCTTCTCCGGAAGAATAGATATTATTTCATTCAAGAGTTGATCTGGATTCACTAATTTGGTTGTAGTCACATTATAGTGAAGCTTAAAAAAAAGAAAAAGAAGGGGTGAATAGTAAATCTTTACATCAACACAAAGACTATCCTACCACACTGTGAGTCCCAAAACTCCTCCATATTGTACCCTTTCAAATGGAACTATTTCAAGAAAAATACGGAAACAATTTACAGTCAATTCTTGATATGTTAATGGCACCGCAAAAGCTTTGCAAAATAACATTTACTATCTTCCTTTTTTATTTTCATCATCTTCCCCTGATCTTTTTTTTTTGTTTTTGAGACAGAGTCTCACCACGTCGCCCTCAGTAGAGTGCCGTAGTGTCACAGCTCACAATAACCTCAAACTCTTAGGCTTAAGTGATTCTCACAGCCTCCTAAGTAGCTGAGACTACAGGCACAGGCCACAATGCCTAGTTATTTTTGTTGTTATTGTTGCAGTAGTCATTGTTGTTTAGCAGGCCCAGGCTGGGTTTGAACCCACCAACCTTGGTATATGTGGCTGGCGCCATAACCACTGTGCTATGGGCACTGAGCCACCTACTGATCTTTTCAAAAAAATACATTATATAGCATCAATCTATCTGTTTGAGCTTTACCTGTTTCTCCCTCATCTTTCTATGGTAGCGACATTAGAGACATTTAGACGTAGAGACATTTCAACAGTCCTGAAATGTAAACTGTGGAAAGATGAAATAAAGACTCTACAAAGTCTGGTTTGTATAAAGTTGGATATGTTTCCTTCATTCTTTCTGGATTATTTAAATAATATCACAGAATTCCAGGAGCCGATTCTTTGACAATTCTATGAGGAAATGAATATAACAGGTATTCTTTCTAAAAAGCAATTATTTTTTTCTCATTGACCAACAATATAATTCTCAGAGATAATTTCTTTTTCTTGTCTTGAGACAGGATCTCACTCTGTTGCCTGGGCTAAAGTACAGTCGTGGTATCATAGCACCTCAAACTCCTGGTCTCTAGCAATCCTCCTGCCTTAGCCTCCGGAGTAGCTAGAACTATACGAAGGCACCACTATCCTCAGCTAATTTTTTTTTTTTTTGAGACAGTGTCTCACTATGTCACCCTTTGTAGAGTGCTGTGGCATCACAGCTCACAGCAACCTCTAACTCTTTGGCTTAAGCGATTCTCTTACCTCAGCTTTCCAAGTAGCTGGGGCTACAGGTGCCCACCACAGCACCCAGCTTTTTTTTTCTCATTGTAGTTGTCATTGTTGCTTAGCTGGCCCAGGCTGGGCTCAAACCCACCAGCCTTGATGCATGTGGTTGGCGCTGTAACCTCTGTGCTATAGGCACCAAGCCTAATTTTTAAATTTTTTTGTAGAGACAGCTCTTACTATGTTGTTCCAGCTGGATTGGAGATGATTTCATTTCTAATTGGTATCTACCTATTCATTTATCCAATAACTATTTACTGAACGTTTTTAGTAGGTCATAGAAACATAAAAATCTCCAGCTTTTTATTAGCACCTTCACTATCAAACAAACCACAGTTTCTGTGTGTTTCAGATTTGAGTTCTTTTCATAAATAACAAAATGCTGAGATAAGAAAGGGCCCAACTACTTTACTTTTCAAAATAAGAACTTGTGGCCCAAAGAAGAGATTTAAATTTCTTTTATTGGGCGGTGCCTGTGACTCAAAGGAGTAGGGTGCAGACCCCATATGTGAGAGTTTTGGCACCAGCCAAAAATTGAAAAAAAACAAACAAACAGTAAATTTTATTTTTTATATATTTTTTTGAGACAGAGTCTCACTTTCTTGCCCCTAATAGAGTGCAATGACATCACAGTTCACTCACAGCAACCTCAAACTCAAGTGATTAATTTGCCTCAGCCTCCCGAGTAGCTGGGACTACAGGCAACCACCACACCTGGCTATTTTTAGAGATGAGATCTCGCTCTTGCTTAGGCTGGTCTTGAACCTGTGAACTCAAGTGATTCGCCTGCCTTGGCTTCTCAGAATGCCAGGATTACAGGCATGAGCCACTTCACCTGGCCTAGATTTAAATTTCTTAACGTAGGGTTTCCCATTAGTATTATACAAGATACACAAGGTAACTCTAGGCAATATGCAGATATTTTTTAATATTTATGCATTAGTTCCCATCTGATTTATAAAAATATGATTAGCAAATAGATTATTTTACATTATGTTATATTATATACAGTTTCCCCTTATATAAAATTGAGTTTTTAAGAAGTGGCTTAGCGGGTATTATATATAATGCCAAGGCATTATAATTATATGTTTTATTTTTTAAATTTATTTTAGAGACAGGCTCCCACTCTGCTGCCTAAGCAGGAGTGCAGTGGCACATAGCTCACTGCTACTTCAATCAGCTAGGCTTAAGTGATCCTCCTGCCTTAGCCTCCCAAGTACCTGGAACTACAGGCATGAACCATAACACCCAGCTTGTACATCTTTAGTATATACAGTTTATTATATGTCAGTTTTACTTCTATACATCTTTTTTTTTTTTTTTAAGAGACAGGGTCTCACTACGTTACCCAGTTTGGCCTCAACCTCCTGAGCTCACCTTATCCTCCTATCTCAGACTCCCCAATAGCTGGGATTATAGGCAGATGCTACCATGCCCCGCTTATAAATGTATTTTTTTAAAGATAATCAACTTGAAGATAATACCAAATAAATAACAGTGCACATATGTTGATATGGCAAATATTGTGAAGATGAGTATAAATGATGGGTCCTTGACTCCCAATCTAAGGCTCTTTCACTAAACTAAATTGGCTTTGTCAAGATATAAACTGAATACTTTCGAATCACAATTTAAATATTGCTTTTATAAAATAAAGAATTACACTTGGAACCCATAGCACAGTGGTTATGGCGCCAGCCACGTACACCGAAGCTGGCGGGTTCAAACCTGGCCTGGGCCAGCTAAACAATGACAAATGCAACAAAAAATAGCTGAGCGTGTGGCAGGCGCCTGTAGTCCCAGATACTGGGAGACTAAGGCAAGAAAATCGCTTAAGCCCAGGAGTTTGAAGTTGCTATGAGCTGTGACACCATGGCACTTTCCCTAGGGTGAAACAGTGAGATTCTGTTTCAAAAATAAATAAAGAAATAATATTCTTACCTATTTAAATTTCAGAATTTTATAGCTTGCTTCCTAAAGAAGGGCTTAACTACATATGATTTGCTATCTTAAAAAACTGAGGTATTCTTTGTATTATTCTGTCAACTTTTCTGGAAGTTTACAGTTTTTTTTTTCTTTTTTAGAGAGAGAGTCTCATTTTATCGCCCTCAGTAGATTGCCATGGCATCACAGCTCCCAGCAACCTCCAACTCCTGGGCTTAAGCAATTCTCCTGCCTCAGCCTCTGAGTAGCTGAGACTACAGGTCCCCACCAGAACCCCTGGCTATTTTTTTGTTGCAGTTTGGCCAGGGCCAGGTTGGAACCCGCCACCTTTGGTATATAGGGCCAGTGCCCTACCCACTGAGCCACAGGCACTGGCCCAGTTTATAGTTTTTTAACAGGGCATATAAAGTTAGTAGAAAATATGAAACTAATTTCCTAAAACAAGTCCTTCAATTTGGCAAGACTTAAAGCATTAAAGTTAGATTCAAAGCTAGATTAAGGTTAAGATCTAAAGTTTGTGCTAATTAGGACTATAGTTCTGCTACATGGAGTTGAGATATTCAACAATGATAATAATGACATTGGAATACCACCTTTTATTAATAAAAGCATTTCATATGCAATGTAGCATCCCACATGCAGAGTCCCGTGAGGTTGCCAGGGGAGGCATTATTTCTAGATTTCACAAAGAAATTATAGAAGTTAAGGATAGAATGACTTATCAAAGCTATACAGTATGAAGCTGAAGCTAGAACCCAAGACCAATCTTCTGGTTTTTCTCCTGTGTTCTAGAAAGCCAACTAACACCACGGCAATTTCCATTGAAAAATGCATTTGGGGGAGGCGCCTGTGGCTCAGTGAGTAGGGCACCAGCCCCATATACTGAGGGTGGCAGGTTTGAACCTGGCCCTGCCCAAACTGCAACAAAAAAATGGCCAGGCATTCTGGTGGGCACCTATAGTCCCAGCTACTCAGAAGGCTGAGGCAAGAGAATCGCCTAAGCCCAGGAGTTGGAGGTTGCTGTGAGCTGTGATGCCACAGCACTCTACCAAGGGCGATAAAGTGAGACTTTGTCTCTAAAAAAAGTAAATAAATAATAATTTTACTGTCGGGTATCCAGACTAAGTAGAATGATTTTGAAGTATTTCTGTTTTTACTGTCTATAAGACTTGGCATGATCTGTTTTTGTTTTTTTTTTTTAGAAATTATTGTTTACTTTTATTTACATATATATTAATCGTCTTCTTTTTTTTTAGACTTTGGTAAAAACATAATAAGGAAGAAAATTGTTTGCTATTTGTATTTTGTCTTGTGTATTCTGTAACAAACAAGTAATAAATGATTATGTATTCAAAAAAAATTGCAATGCTCTTATTAAAGCTATATTGATAAGTACTTTCTATTTTGGTTGCTGATACAATGCTATCTTTCTTTTTCTAATATTATTTTGTAATTCTTTTTATATAGGAATATAATTGATTTTGTATAGTTATTTTGAAGTTAGCTATATCGCTGAATTTTTCTATTGCTTTTGGTAACTTGCAAGTAACTTGGTAACTCGGAAGTAATGAAATTTGTATTTTTTTACAAACTATTGGGATTTTTAAGTTATCATAATTGTACTAGCTAGGATCTTCAACTTTACTAGGAGTGGTGGTAATGAGTACACTTATCTCATAATTGATTTGTAGTTAATGCTTTTGTTTCCTCATAAAATTAGTACATTTGTCCCAATGTTACCTTCAATGATTATGTCAATGTTTTGCCTATACTTGATGTTCTGTAAATATTCATGGAATAAAGGAGCCTTAAAAAAATAAAAAATAAAAAAAAATAAAATCCCAATACCCAGTCAGGCAGGTGTTGGAATTAATTAAAAAAAAAAAAAAAAGAAAGAAAAAGAAAAATGCATTTGGGTTCCAAAAAAACTTACATAGGTGAACTTATGTAAGAACATTTTTAGAACTTATCCATTAGTATTCAATATCTGCTTAGCATCTCAATAATGTATATGTTTGAATAAGTTTCCTTAATTTTATTTATTTAATGTTTTTTAGTGAAATGGTAGTATGGTTTTCTTAATACCATAATCTGAAGTAGTTCATAACTGTCTCCAACCAGAGAAATCCCAGAATAAAAGGCTAAAACATGCCTAATAAATAGCCATATGTAGTATAAATTTAGTGCACCATATAAGTTCAACAAGGCAGTGAATACTAATGGATAAGTCCTATCTTCTTCCTCTCTAAGACATAATATAAATGGGATCTCAGAACATTCTCATTCTCTGCTGAAGAACCCTTCTGCCCAACAGTTCAGCATTCTCCTTTCCTCAAACCATCCAGATTTGCTCAATATGAGAGTGTCCTTGCAAAAAACACACAGTCCCCAAATCATGGGAAGAGTATCATCTTCTTCCTCTTCTGGAGCCACACCACTGGGAACACGTTTTCACTACACAGAACTGAGCCCAGTGTGTCAGAACAACGTCACGGCTGTGTCTTACTCCCACCGTTACCTCTTATTTCATACACTTACACAAAACAAAAGTGTCATTCATTAGATGCCTGAATGAATGCTCAGACAGAATCCAAGAGAGTAAGAAGTATTTTGTACCCCCAAATAGCTTACTTTTCTTTTCCTTCTCCTACCAAATACATTACCCATACCACTGATACATTAGTCCTTTTAAAGTATAACAAGTCTAGCAACAGATCTTTCAGCCAGGCCTTGAGGACCTCCCAGTCCACCTTGCTAGCCTGCCACTTACTATTTTCCCCATATACTGTTCTCAAAGTTCAATTATCTTCCCATGTATTTACATATTTCATGAGGGCCTAAAAGGAAGCTATTTGCCAGGGGCACTTCTATGTGTCAAGAGATACAACTGAGCTCAAGTCCCCATCCTACAGGTATCTCTCAGTTTCCCCAATAAGCTCAGTTTCCTCTCAGCTTCCTCACCTTCATGTTGCCTCTGTGATTAATCCCTCTCCCTGCTCCTGAATATGTGAATTATATGATAGTTATTTTGTCCTTGAAGGGAGTGACTGTATCTTATTAACCTCTGCATTACCAAACCGCTATGCATAGTAACATGCACACGTTAGTTACTCTTCCATTCTAAGATGTAACTAAATATATATTATCTAAATGAACATAAGCAAATAAAAATGCTAATCAATTTGCCCAGTACTTTTCTTTCTTTTTTGTTTTTTAAAGCAATTCAGCTAGCAGTCAGCTTCTGAAATTCACAGTGAAAAATTTCAGTGTACTTACCTTTAGTCTTCGTGGCCCGTCTTTAGCGGAGCCCTTCTTTTTGCTCCTGGTAAGCACAGTGATCACCTTATCCAGTCCCCTTTCAAGGCTCCCAAACACTTTGACTCCTTTTCTCTTTGGAGTATCCTCCATATGTGCTTGGTTGAGATCTAGTTCTACTGAGCGGCACCTTAAAAAAAAAAAAAAAGCACAAGTAGAGTTGGGCCTCCCACCTGTTGGGGCAGTCAAGGGTGGGCCTCTGTCCCTTTAAACACATTAGGGTGTCTCATTTAAGCATGTCAGGGCCAGATCACCTCCCTCCTCCTCAGGAAGTGCCAAAGCCATCTCTTTCTGGAAAGAAGCCATCACCCAGCTCCCACTCAGCAAAACTATTTTTCCCTTCCTTTTTATAAAGTGTCAAATAGCCAGAAAAGTTGAAAGAATAGTACAATGAACACCCATATATTCTCCTATATTCAACAACTGCTAGTATTTTGACACATTTGCTTTCTCTATGTATACAGATAACAAATACATTAAATACCTTACTTATTTACTAAGCTATATGAAAGAAACCATCTAAAGATATCATGACGTTATTCCGAACCACTTCAGTATACACCTCCAACAAACAAGGACATTTTCTTACATAATCACAATGCCATATCACATCGACAAAAAAATAATTCCATTAGGCCTGTAGCTCAAAGGGGTAGGGCACCAACCCCATATGCCGGAGGTGGCAGGTTCAAACCCAGCCTCAGCCAAAAAAAAGTATATATAATAATAATAATAATTCCATTAACATTCCGTAATATGTAATGTATAATGTAAATGTATGTAAAATGTAATACCCAGTTACATTTTAATTCCCCAGCTGTCACCAAAATGGATCACACTTTTAAAAAACAGCTATAAGGAACAATGAAGGGTCATCTATATCATTGAACTTTTCAAACAGGAGTGGATTTTCTTTGAAACACCAGTTAGTACCTTCACTGTTTGGGGGAACTATTATGTTAGCAGATATCTACAGTCTACTGAGAGAAGCATAGGGAAAGATAGGCCTCAGGGAAGGAAGTACGTGGCCAGGGTGAGGACTACTGTCTTTGGAGCCTGCTGTACTTTAAGTGATGGTGCCAGTCTTACTTCTGATCAGTTTTCACCATTCTACCCCAAATGGAAGGCAGTGGCAACAAGTCTAGTAATGGCCACGGACCATCCTCATACAGATATTCCTTCGGTCTCAACAGAATCTATGTAATGATTCACCTTAATCAGGTTTATCATACATGAAAAGGGAAATCTGGTTACACACACCAATGCTCAAAAAATCTAAAAAAACTGAACACTTACCGCCTTTCAGGGCTAATGACACCTGCCATTAACTTGTCTGCTCCTGTTGAATATATTGGTGTTTTAATTGGGGTTTCCTTCAGGCACTTGTTTCTAGCTATAAGAAACACAACACAAACTATATGTAGCTGACGTACTATGGCTCCAAATTTTCTATCAATAATGCATACATCATCTTATTCATTGACTCAGAAATACTGTAATCAAC